CAATTTCAAACGCAAAAGCTTTGAAAAAATATAAATTTAAAATTTTGTTATTGGCAAATAATAAATAAAAAAAGACTAGGTAATGACTAGCAGTGGCCACAACGACGACAGCCCAATGAGTTAATGAATAAATAGGCAAACTGGCTATGTGACACGGCCTCTTTGTACTTCATACAAATCGCAACAGCAAATGGCAACAGGCATATATATCCTCGCCTTTAGCGCTGCGGTTACTGGTGTTCCAGTCGCTCATCAATAACCGAAAATAAGCGAAAGTGAAGCATGAAAAGACCAAATGGGGCACAACAAGAGCGGGTGTCGCAAAAGCGGTTGTAAATGTGCAATACAGACATCGTTTATAATATGCCCGTGTGTGCATGTGTATGAGTTGCTTTTAACCAATATTTATTTTGGTCTTCAAAAGCTTGGTATAAAACAAAATCACAACAGCGCTCTTTCAATTTTTCATCTGGCTAAAGTATTTCTACCCACTTCACCTTTTCCACTAACTTCACCCTCTGCTTTTCATTTGCCGTGACCTGCGAATATTATGCTCACTTACGCTGTTGGCTTATATTCATATGGACGTGTGAATGTGAGATATGAGCACTAGTGAAAAGTGAGAATTTGCCAATGGTTGCTGCAACAGTGAATTGAGTATATAGCAAGGTGTATCTCGTTGGCTGCGTCCTCTGTGGCATATGCGGCAGCGTGCCAACACGTCTACGTGCACTTTGGGTCCATCACAACCGATGTGGGGGTAGATGCAGCACAAAAGCAGTTCGAAATTACGGTTCACAAGCAGCACGGTTGGTGTCTGCTTGAATTTATTGGTATTAACGCGCTGGGAATTTAGAAGCAGTCGAACACACATATTTACAAAGAGTTGTTGCCAACTGGCTGCCAGGTGTGGCACGTGCCACAGCGTCAGCGTATGTGTGCCTGATGTTTGGAGCTTGGTGGCGAAGAACTAATAAAATTCATTTTGTGGTCACAGAACAAATTGAATGATAACAAACACGTACATGGAATTCAAAATAATAAATTCTGATTTCTTGGCGAGAAAAATAAACTGAAAATGTTTAAGGGCGAATAATGAATTTCAAAGCTAGCAGCTCATAAAATTTGTTTTTTAATATTTATATATAAAAATTTTTTTTAAATTTTTTCCTCATATAGAGTTTAAATAAATGCTGACTAGGGGAATATTCATTTCCACACTTTTGGATCTTTCCCATAGCTTTTAAATTGAAAGAAAAAATTAATGCTTTCCTCAAATCATCATTTTCCGGTACACAATTTGACCTTTTCAGCACAATGAAAAAGAATGATGTTGTTTGTTCAATGACCGTAAGTTTATTGAATATGTTTGACAGATGTCATGCCAACCAAATGTGCTCTACCAACACATATGTATCTTAACCGGTAGGCCTGGTATTCATATGAATTTCGAAAGTGATTTTCAAAATGTAAATTATTAAAGAAAGTGGAAAGGTAAATCTCCACAACGATGTATATAATGTATCTTTATTATTTCAATTTTTTAAAATTAAAAAAAAAAATTTAATAAGCACTTTATAGTGTTCCTTATTATTGTAATTTTAATACAATATTAGTGGCGCATTTTTTTGACTTACATTTACTGCTGCCCTCTTGGCGATTTCAAATTTATTCCTGTATTACTGTTTACGCAAGGTTCTTTCGAAATAACTCGCTGGTTCTTGATTATAAATTTCTTCGCGTTTACAAATCACGTAATTTGTTTTTATTTCAGAGATTTGATGCCATGGTGTATACGCGATAATTATATGCACACATAAATATGTACATACATACATATAAATGAAAAGGCATGGGTTTCTTGCACTGGTCTCTCTTGTATATGTGTTGTTGCAGATACTTCTTTATCTACTGAAATAAGCTTTGGTTTACTTTTGTGGCACAACATGCTTTGGTTTCGCGGGCACGTACTCATTCACACTACAAACAAACAAACACATGGACTGAAAAGGATATACACAGACAACGAATTAGGTAAAAAAAAAGTAAATTCATAGAAAGTAGTAAATATCAAAGCGGATGCGGATGTGTAGCCCACATTCTACAGCCATATATATTTATGTCCAAAACCACGAGCAGCAGCAAGCGCATGTGAGCACGCTTACTACACCAACGTTGATTATTTCAATCTTTTTGTTTTTTGTTTCGTTGGTCATAACGTGGTTTGTCTAACTCCTTACGTAGGGAAGCACTCCTGATGTTTCTTACTTCGTGCTCCCTTCGGTCGGTTGGACAGTTAGTTGCTCGCTCGGTCAGCTGGCGTCGTTGTTGAAATTCGCTCTGTTCGTTTCTCACTGTAGATGACTTGCTGGTTCATTCGTTCGGCAACTCCACTCTGTGTTTGCTTCCTGTTATCCCAATACGCGAGAACGTCAGCGGGAATATTTCTAAAAGCGTAAACTCACCCGCAGACGCACATATACAGTCGCATTCATATAATCCACGCATACATACAAAGGCAATGCCATAGACATTAAGTCTCGAAAACTAGGATACGCAAGACGCTATTTGAATATATTTTTAAGCACGTTATTTGAGAGTTTATTGATTTTTCATTTCCATATTCTTCTGCACAATTCTAATGTACATGTGTCTGTACGAAATATTGCTGAATTTGTACATCACTTTTGTTATAAATTAATACATGTCTCTACACACACACACAAATTTCCATACCACATACACTTATCCACTTTGGGGCTCCATTCTGCTCGGCTCGCATTCGTTTTGATCGTTGCACGTTAATGAATTATATAATTTAGTAACATACTTTCACTTGACTTCACTTTTTTCTCTACTCTATATTTTGTAATAGAACATTGATTTGCGAAAAAATAACTTCTCTACCAACAAAATAGCAAACATTTTCTAAAAACACTTAATTAGCTGCTTTCTCGTTTTTTCTTAATATTTTTCAATATAATGTTTGCAAAAGGTGCTACATTAAACTGAGTCTAGGTTATTAAGAGCACCTTGTGGAGCGGTTGGTTAGCGTTGTTCAGGTTTCCGAGATTTCGTTTAAACACCACCAGTAGAAAAGACAAACTGAGCTCTGTCGAGCTTCTGCTTGGAAAATTTCGCCCAGAAATTTTTTGAGGGCAGGAAAATGAAACTAGGCGCGAGTGAGCACACAACGAGAGCATAAAGCGTTTGTGAGAGCGCACGCAAAAGCTTAAGTAATGAGCTGATTTGTGGATATTAGCTCACATGCCGATACATTCATGCTGACAAGTGGTGGGTGCACGTGAAATCGCGTCATTTTGCCGGCAGCCGATGATTTGTTTACATGCCTGAAAGCTTAAGACGAAGTGTTTGCGAACGTAGGTGCGTTGTAAGGTTTGAGTAGTTTGAAATTTGGTATGTAGAAAGTCGGAACAAAAACCTTCCATTTAATTTTAAATAATTTGTGTTATAACATGAACTTTTGGAAAATAGTTATAAAATTATATTTAAAATTTTTTTTATACTTTCGACTAAAGTAAAGTGTAATTTCATACAATTTAATAAAGTAATCTACACATTGTTGGAGTGAAACCACATTGCTTGACAAACTTCACTTGGAACAGCTGTTACCAACTTTTCGTCACATGTCAGAAGATAAACTCCCTTTACGTCATTTTTATTCAATTTTCTCAAAAGTTTGCGTGCTCATTCTTAAGCGCTCGCAACGTACGACGCATGCGTCTAACTGCTCAATATTCCCAAACTATATTCTCACAGATGAGCAGGCAAGCGTTTAAGCACATAAATGAGATGCTCAACAAGGACTTGCTACTTTGTTTACCCCAAATTTCGTTGGAAATATACAAATCTCGTGCAGTATTGCACTAACTGTCCCATCCACTCATGCACCCACTAAGCATTTCCTTTGCAAAGGCAATTCATGGCGACGCTGCCTTCCGTTGTTAATATTGTGATCAACTGAGATGAACTGAGAAAGGTGTGAAATACCAAAAAGCGCCAACACACCATTAGCTGTTTAAATAAAACAGGAAATAAGTGAAAAGTAAAATAGACTAATCTAAGCACAAGCCTATGCTGAAGCGAAATAATCGCATTGAAATTATATGGCGCGAAGTATGCGACACGGAAATTTAATTTAAAGAATTAATAAACTCACACGAATCAAACTCTCTAACATATAAAAATAATTATTTGGGGACGGATTGTGTTACTACTAATGCGCTGCAACAATTGCTGAATGTTTAATAAGTTTACTTGGTTTTAACAACTTCCGTGCGTCTGGCGAACCCAAACGAAAGTCTTAATTGAAAGTGAATTGCATGCATGAGTTTTGTTATTGTCCTTTTCGTCCAACCCGCTCATAAATTTCGTTACATATTACATATACACGCATTTTACGTGTGTGTATCTTTATGTACTTGAATATTTCCTGTATGGCGCGTACTTTCGTGCACCCTCTTTCACGACTCTTTGTGGCTTTCGTTCAATCTTTGGCGAGCACACGCACGCAGCTTGTCATATTTTTAATTAGAAACCCAAAGCTTAATGACGACATAAGCGTTTTGAAGAGGCCTCTTTAAATTATTGATAAGTTGCTCATACATGATTCAGCCGCAACAATTAGGACTAAAGATTAGCGCGGGAGCAATGAAAGATATACAAGTACTTAGATGCAGTTTAACCATTACACGGGAAATGAGTTTGTGTGGTCTCTTAATCATTGGTTAAATTCAAAACACTAGCAAAGTCTGTTACAAGCTCTGAATATTCAAATGCATTGTTTGAAAAAAGTTTGTATTTGTCAAGTAGTAGAAAAATAGTTCCAATGCAGTTATCAAATTCAGAGCTCGAAAACATTTAGCACCACTTGAGTGTATATTTAACCAGCGATTAAGCAAAGTCCAAGATAAAGCAATAATAATGAATTTTTATACCAGTGAGTTATACGAAAATCGTTAGTTTGCGATCGTACTCACTTTAGTTGACGATCTCGGTGCCACACGGCCAGCTGTAGACGTTCGCCAGCAACATCAGTTTTAGTTTGCTGCTGTGTTTGTGGTTTCGCGCCCAAATCGAACTTGAAGCGATGATCAAAGTACGGACGACTCGAATGCCTGTGCACAGCGGTGCGTTGAAAGTGGTTGTCCATTTTCTTAGAAGCCGGCTTGTTGCGTATCAACGCAACCTTAACGTAAGCATTCAGAGCAGTTGAACCATTGGGTCGCTGCAGATCGCGACAACGTATTACTGCAATCAAAAAATGAATTGAATATTATTTTGATAACCATAAGTTGCATAGAGTTTTTTTACACTTTCGCCAAAGCCCAATAAATTTGGAACTCACCATGTACATTTAATTGTTGTTGCTCCACTTGTATGGATAGTTCTACGTGGCCGCGCACTGCAGCACTGTTAGCAGCTTTCCATGAGCCCTGAGAATGTCGTGAAGTTTGTCCCGAACCGAAGTGATCGCCCATTGTGGAGCTTGTATTGGATGATGCCACAGAACTGCGTTTCGCAGCGTTGCTAAAATCCACATCGTATTCGTCATCGCTCGTCGATGAAAAGCTTAGGCAACGCTTAATCGAATGTGTCTCCTCTAACGTCGGTGTTGAGCAGCGCTGCTGCGACTGAGCTTCTACTGTCCTTGCGCCGGCCATTGCTGTGGTCGTGAGAGTATCGACGATTTCTGTTGAATTTGGTGGCGTTTGCATTGCCAATAGCTCTGCGTTAGTCGCGGCACTTGGCTTAAAAAGTGGTGTGTCCGGACTATGCGCATCGTCGGTTAGTGGAACACCGATTATAGATTGCGGTTGTGGTGGTGGCGGAGTCACATTTCCAATTGATTTCGCTTCTTTTGAATCTATTTTGCGTCGGGACTCCGTGGTTTTGGTATTCTTACGCCGTACAACACGTTGGCGCTTGAGATGTGTCGGGGTACGCACTTCCATTTCATGTACGCTGATTTCACTGTCGCTAACAACAGTAGGCGAAGAGCTTCTTAACGCGCTTTTTACCCCATGCTGCTGAGCGCTATCTCTGGGGTTAACCACATGCACATGTTTTACATCCTTACGCGCACTCTCAATAATCGCATCTAACATACGGTCAAGTGTTACGTCGCCCATACGCGAAGAAGAAAGTGAATCGTCACGGGAAGCGCTACGGAAACGCAAGTGACTTAATGGTGTATCCTGCGGCTCCGGATTGACAAAATCGTCCGAAAAACGACTGCGCGAGGTTGGGGTACCGCTGCGACGTTTAACGTTTAAATTCATATTGCCTTGAGTTTGGCAACGCAAGGGTGGACGAGTTGGTGTATAATCGACTCGCAAAGGACTTTTCCCATTGCTGAGGTCCTGAAATGCAGTGAGCGAGGTATTGCCGAAAGGGCTTCGTGTAAAATGAACGCCGAAGTTTTCTTTATTAGCGGCGCTCGTAAGAGAGTGGCGGACACGACGTGGTGAATGCGTTTCAAGTTGGTTATCGAGTGAGTAGCGTTGCAAGCGTCGACGTTCGAGAACGTGCGTCATAGTAGGCATTTCCTTTGCGGTATTATTTACTGCAATAATCGAGCTGTGTTTGGAGCTGATTTCTGATGGAAAAACGTTTTGCAACGTGTGATTGAGAGGTTTTGTTGATAGAATCACTGCTAGTCGAGGTGTAAAAATAAGGCCTTGTTATGATAGTAGCAGTGGATTAGTAAGGAGTTTAGAGGACCGGAAAAGGCTTCTGGTTTTGATGTTTTCGCCACTTAAGCATTGCGAATAAACGGGAAAATGTTAAGCCTAGAAAGAAATGCTAACTATACAGTTATACATTTTCGAAAAAAATATAAACTTACGATAGGACTAAATTCTAAAATTCTATTAAAGTTTGTCATAACAAATTAACAACAATTTTAAATTAAAAGATGTAGTGGTGCTTGTATTTACTACTTCACAATTGTGAATACCATTTTTCGATGAGAGGTTGTTGTATTTACTAAGCCAAGTCACAACGTAGACACAAGGTGCCTCAAATGAAGAGTTTTAACATTTTTTCATCGTCATGTTGGCTCGAGAACTATGCTGTTAATTTAAATAAAGTTCGTATATATAAACTAAATGGTGCGGCTGATAAAGTTTGGAAATAAAATGAAGTTTTGAATAATGATAATATAGGAAGACAGATGTACTTTGAATGGCTGGTTGATTACTTTCGAAAAGTACTTTATCAAAATGTAGTTAACCTTCTTTCTCAGTGAAGCACCCTCGAAACATGGAAAGAATATTTGCAAGCAGCAGCTGTTCGGGAGATTTTTACGCGCAATCGATAACAAACAATGGAATGATCAGCTACCGAAAAGAAAGATTTTCTAAGTATAACGGCGCACAGACAAACTTCGATCCAGATAATTGTTTGAGCCAAATAGAAAAAATTTATTGATTGGTAAAGTAAGGGAAAGAAAACAGAAGGCACCTACGCTACTCGCCTGAATGTCCTTTTCACCTACACAAGCGCAATTGAAAACACTAAGGCAGAGACCCGTGCGTGAAATGGGAAAGTATAGGTGTGTTAAATGTGTCTGTGCGCCATTCAAAATTTTCTCTTTTGGTACGATTGCTTTATTAAATGCCTGCGCAATGGCATTTCACCAGTTGAATGCTGGAAAATTCCTGTCACTTTTAACGCCGACCATTCAGGCATCGTTGCCATTTATGTAATACAATGTGAGCGCCGAGAAAGTTAATCACGTACAAGCTCTCTAAGTACATATGTATGCGTGCATGCTGTAGCCCTGTGGTCCTCTGCCTCTATTGCATATCCTTTGCGCGCCTTTAAAGCGAGCGAAATGATTTTTTGATTGCTTGCAATCAACTAAATTAAAGATTTTGTTCTTGTTTTCTTTAAATATGGTACATAGTTGTTGTTGTTGTTGTGGAAATGTAAAGCGCTCAGTTCCTTCGACTTTTGATTGTCACATGACTGATTTTGACCTTTTCCGCCGAGAAGGGAAGGCGGCACGAAGGATGTTAGGGATATGCGTTACAAGTAACACTCTGATTGCTCTTGTTTTTCATTTCTCTATAAAACTACGTAAACATGCGCAAATGTGTGTGTGCGGTTACCCATCGTGCTTGTTGGTACTCCAGGCGTTGTTGTTGTTACTTGAGTTATGTGCAAGTAGTTTCTATTGACTGACAGCTGTCATGCTGTGTAGCTTTGGTGCTAGAAGCGTATATGATCGCGTCAAACGCTTGGAAAGGCATGAGGTCTTTGAGGTGGCTCATAACGATTTATGCTTAGACTTTGTGGAAATTTTGTCACAAAATACGATTTTTTATATATACTCCAAAGGCGCGTGCAAAATGTAAATGAAGATTGCACTTTCAAATCAAATTTATTCCCAAAATCTTATTTTTTTGGAATAATATCCCTTCATAATTATATCAATTGCGTGTACATATTGCTGTATGTCCTTGTGTGCGTTGTACTGACCGCGTCATTTACAAATTTCGATTTTACGCAGAAAAGTAGCAAAAATTGCAAATCTGAAATGATTCGTTTGTTGCTAATAAAAATCCAGTTTATCGCTGGAAACTGGTAATTTGTATGATTTACTATCGACAAAGGGGTAAAAAGACAAGCGAATGAAACAACACAGAGATAGCAAATTGCCAAAGCTAAATTTGTTTCTTTAGCAAATAAATGCAGAAAAGAAGCCAACGACAGAAGGGTCGGGCGATAAGAAAAAAGAATAATAGAAGTTGGCGAAAATCCGTTGCCTATCTACATATATGCATAAAACCTACATTCCTTGGCGGTGGTCTTCAGCAAGTTCGCTGCACAGGCGCCTCTTAGAGACACGACGCGGTTCCCTTCTAAGCTTTTGTAATTTTTTTCTAAAACCCGTTATTGTGCCAATTGCAAAATGTAGCGTCTGTTTGGCTATTATTTTTAATGTCTTTTCAATTCTACTTTTATACCTCTTTTCTTTTTTTAACGATCCTTCGGGCTGGTAAACTGTGGTATGAGTGTGTGCATGTCTTGAGGATCCTTGCGGCTGAAGCTTTCAGGTTTGTGTACGCGCGCAAATGCAATAAGCGCTTACCGCAAATACAATCGTCCGTCGTCAGCGAGACAACTAAAGCCGAGGAGCTGCTGGATCGTACATGCACTTTACGACATTAGCTCTGCCATTTCTGGCTTGTATGCGGCTATTTAATGCATTCATTCATTGCCATTTAACACAGTGTTCTTCTGCCCATTTCAAAGCGCCGTTAGTCCCTTCCTTTATTATCTTTTTTCTTTATTTTTGCAACGAATTTTTAGCTTTTCTGGTTTTTATCTGTCGCAATGGTTGCGCGATTTATTCAAATAATGTGACATTTAATTAGTTCGGAGATCATACATTATGTTCGTACGTGTTCGTGTTATACTTGTGAAGCTTATATCAAAAAATATTTAAATACGACAGCAAAGTATTCCGTTATGATTTGTCGTTGCCGATTTTGATTTCCTATTGCCTTTTCGACTTATTTAATGCTAGTAAGCATGCTTAAATTTTAGTGTGTATGTTAGTAAAGTTTACTACTGGCTTCGAAGCCGCAAACAAACCCTTTAAAGAAACGCATGTCCTGCTTGAACTCATTTACCATATGCTGTAGAGGCTATTGAAAAGTAATGTATGTATGTATGGATGTGTTCGTATTCTACCACAGGACTTTAGCGAATTGCCCGTCTTTGTTTGGGCAATCGTGGTTTTATATTCCTTCAATTTACTGTATTTCTTATTATTCCCTCCCAAATTTCCATACACGAATCTTTTCTCATATTTTAATTTAACTTTATTGTGTGCTAAACTGAAAAGCGTGTTGCGAGTGGAATTTGAAAGCCATTCTGGGTGTTTATTAAGTGCTCTCTTGACATTGTTCAGCGCCATGCAGACCAAAACAGCCAGTCATATGAGCGAGCAACTGGCTGACTGCTACCGCTTGGGACAACACATTGAATGGCCGCACAAAGGACCGGCAGACATTTACGCGAAATACTGTGTATGTTTGGGCAGGAAGTTTGCAAGGAACTTATTTAGCGACGAGCGCCTATTGAGTTGTAAACGAGCTTGCATAAGGAGCTGCCTACCAAAAATGCGATTGATTTACTGCTATTTCATGTAAATGAAATGTGTTACATAGAAAAAACTGAGAATGGATTGAATGGCAGCATGAACGTAGCCAAGCGCAATTCACACGGGGGCACACCTAAATAAATGAATAAAATACAAATTTTTCGTATGCTTGCAAAACTTCTGATGATCTAATTTTCTTTCGTTCCGAGTCAAATTGGAAATTGAGCTGAAGTATTCTGGTTTTTAAGATTATTTGATTATAGAAAATTCGTTGCTCATTTCATAATTTGGTAATTATTAATCGGTAGAAAATCTATGCAAAATATTAAAAACCGCAAAGGCACATAAGTAGCCCGCTTGCCTCGCCTAATCACACGACCTTGGCGGCAACAAATTGTGCTAGTCTGCAGTGAAAGGTGTAAGACATCCTGCTTAAGCAGAAAACTCACTTAGCCAAACAAGGAAAGTTTTATGTTAAGGCTTTGCAAACAAAAAACTGAAAATGGGAAATGTGTGCCGTAACAAAAACAAAATTTAGGGATTACTCTCACCCCGGGTAAAGGCTGCTGCCGTGAGTGCAGCTTGGCATGAACAGGGCTGCCCTACCATCAGCCGACCCATTTGGCCACGCACCTTTAGACAAATTGGCTTACGGCCGATCCTACAAAGATCGACTGAAACGAAGTCCACAGCCAAGCGAAAAGAAAAGGTGTACATGCAGAAGAAAGGGCAGAAGATTAGCTGGATCGACAGATGAGGTCGGACGAAATGCTGAGGAGGTTGGATTGCGAATGAGAATGCGGCTATGAATGTAGATCAGTTGTTGTTATTTTTCGGTGCATCTATTTGAAAACGAAAAAGATTTAACGTGTATGTATGTATTATGAGCCTGCACACGTATGTATATGAAGAGAATGGCATATCTGGTGTAATCCATACACGTCACCCCCAGAATAGAAAAAATCTTTTTCTCGCAACAACAACATACCGTTACACAACTGCCGGTAACGCTGTCCTACAGCTGATAGTTGATCAGAAAAAAATTCGTCTACCCAGCAGACTTAAAGACGTCAGCGGTCTGAACGTTGTGCATTGAGGGATGGCGGTAGGCAATCAACAGTGCTTAGAGCGCTGGCTTACTCTAAAGGTGTTTACCCTGGCATTCGGTGAAATTGGCAGCAACGCTGCTGAAGAGGGGTTGGAAATTAGATAAATTAAAATTAGAACTAGTGCAGTTGCTTGTACAAATGATGAGGTAAGAAGCGGCACGATCGAAAAGGGGAATGCGAATGCTGAAGCTCGCCAAAATGATATGAGTAAAGAAAGAATGAGAAACGGCAAAAACAAAACAGCCTTAACAACTGCTGATTGGTGGAAGAACTGGAATTGTGCGAGCGAAAAAATCGATTAAGACGAATTATATCCTCGGCATCGGTTTCTTATTTTTTTATGTTAGAAGTTCTTTGCTTGAGGCGTTTCGGTAAACGAGACCTAAGCATTTTGTTTCCTTTGATTTTTCATTGAAGTTATGCGACTGCAATGAGTGTGTTTTTTCGGATTTACATGCCACGAGCAAATGTAAATTATTGGAAGGCGTTTTCCTCTAATGATTAACTGAGGTGACTGCAATAACGGCCGATGCAATTAAATAAATCATATTTTTTTAATAGAAT